GTCCCTTACAATAGAGAAATTGAGCATCAGACCACTGAAAATCATGAGTGTTGAAAGCATATTCATGTAAATCCTCGATAGTATAGTGGTGAGTATCTCCGCCTGTCATGCGGAAGACCGGCTTTCAATTCACCATCGGGGAGGTATTTTTGAGTAAATGATTTGTTATATACAGTTGACCGTCCGAATTGTTTGATTCATACCTCAAAAAATGACCTGAAATCGGTAATGAATTCCCACAAACACAGAATTCTTCAACTCTATGAATTGGGGGATTATGAAATCGCTGAACATTACGCAATTAACCGATCGTTACATTTTGAATATCTTCACATGTTGCAATGTAGGCCCTTACAAATAGAGAAATTGAGCATCAGATCACTGAAAATCATGAATGTTGAAAGCTTATTCATGTAAATCTTCGATAGTATAATGGTGAGTATCTCCGCCTGTCACGGGGAAGACCGGGGTTCAATTCCCCGTCGGGGAGGTATTTTTAAGTAAATGATTTGTTATATACAGTTGACCGTCCGAATTGTTTGAGTCATACCTCATAAAATGACCTGAAATCTGTAATGAATTCCTCACAAACACAGAATTCTTCAACTCTATGAATTGGGGGACTATGAAATCCCTGAACATTACGCAATTAACCGATCGTTACGTTTTGAATATCTTCACATGTTGCAATAAAGGCCCTTACAGATAGAGAAATCGAGCATCAGATCACTGAAAATCATGAGAGTACCTCACCACAGAATTCTTCAACTCTATGAATTTGGGGGATTATGAAATCGCTGAATATTACGCAATTAAACCGATCGTTACGTTTTGAATATCTTCACATATTGCAATGTAGTCCCTTTACAAATAGAGAAATTGAGCATCAGACCACTGAAAATCATGAGTGTTGAAAGCATATTCATGTAAATCCTCGATAGTATAGTGGTGAGTATCTCCGCCTGTCATGCGGAAGATCGGCTTTCAATTCACCATCGGGGAGGTATTTTTGAGTAAATGATTTGTTATATACAGTTGACCGTCCGAATTGTTTGATTCATACCTCATAAAATGACCTGAAATCGGTAATGAATTCCCACAAACACAGAATTCTTCAACTCTATGAATTGGGGGATTATGAAATCGCTGAACATTACGCAATTAACCGATCGTTACATTTTGAATATCTTCACATGTTGCAATGTAGGCCCTTACAAATAGAGAAATTGAGCATCAGATCACTGAAAATCATGAGTGTTGAAAGCTTATTCATGTAAATCTTCGATAGTATAGTGGTGAGTATTTCCGCCTGTCACGGAGAAGACCGGGGTTCAATTCCCCGTCGGGGAGGTATTTTTAAGTAAATGATTTGTTATATACAGTTGACCGTCCGAATTGTTTGAGTCATACCTCATAAAATGACCTGAAATCTGTAATGAATTCCTCACAAACACAGAATTCTTCAACTCTATGAATTGGGGGACTATGAAATCCCTGAACATTACGCAATTAACCGATCGTTACGTTTTGAATATCTTCACATGTTGCAATGAAGGCCCTTACAGATAGAGAAATCGAGCATCAGATCACTGAAAATCATGAGTGTACCTCACCACAGAATTCTTCAACTCTATGAATTGGGGGATTGTGAAATCGCTGAACATTACGCAATTAACCGATCGTTACGTTTTGAATATCTTCACATGTTGCAATGTAGGCCCTTACAAATAGAGAAATTGAGCATCAGATCACTGAAAATCCCTGAACATTACGCAATTAACCGATCGTTACGTTTTGAATATCTTCACATGTTGCAATGAAGGCCCTTACAGATAGAGAAATCGAGCATCAGATCACTGAAAATCATGAGTGTACCTCACCACAGAATTCTTCAACTCTATGAATTGGGGACTTTGAAATCCCTGAACATTACGCAATTAATCGATCGTTACGTTGTGATTATCTCCACATGTTGCAATAAAGGCCGCAATATATAGAGAAATTGAGCATTAGATCACTGACAATCGTGAGTGTTGAAAGCATATTCACGTAAATCCTCGATAGTATAGTGGTGAGTATCTCCGCCTGTCACGCGGAAGACCGGGGTTCAATTCCTCGTCGGGGAGGTATTTTTAAGTAAATGATTTGTTATATACAGTTGACCGTCCGAATTGTTTGAGTCATACCTCATAAAATGACCTGAAATCTGTAATGAATTCCTCACAAACACAGAATTCTTCAACTCTATGAATTGGGGGACTATGAAATCCCTGAACATTACGCAATTAACCGATCGTTACGTTTTGAATATCTTCACATGTTGCAATGAAGGCCCTTACAGATAGAGAAATCGAGCATCAGATCACTGAAAATCATGAGTGTTGAAAGCATATTCATGTAAATCCTCGATAGTATAGTGGTGAGTATCTCCGCCTGTCACGCGGAAGACCGGGGTTCAATTCCCCGTCGGGGAGGTATTTTTGAGTAAATGATTTGTTATATACAGTTGACCGTCCGAATTGTTTGATTCATACCTCATAAAATGACCTGAAATCGGTAATGAATTCCCCACAAACACAGAATTCTTCAACTCTATGAATTGGGGACTTTGAAATCCATGAACATTACGCAATTAATCGATCGTTACGTTGTGATTATCTCCACATGTTGCAATAAAGGCCGCTATATATAGAGAAATTGAGCATTAGATCACTGACAATCGTGAGTGTTGAAAGCATATTCATGTAAATCCTCGATAGTATAGTGGTGAGTATCTCCGCCTGTCACGCGGAAGACCGGGGTTCAATTCTCCCGTCGGGGAGGTATTTTTGAGTAAATGATTTGTTATATACAGTTGACCGTCCGAATTGTTTGATTCATACCTCATAAAATGACTGAAATCGGTAATGAATTCCCCACAAACACAGAATTCTTCAACTCTATGAATTGGGGACTTTGAAATCCCTGAACATTACGCAATTAATCGATCGTTACGTTGTGATTATCTCCACATGTTGCAATAAAGGCCGCTATATATAGAGAACTTGAGCATTAGATCACTGACAATCGTGAGTGTTGAAAGCATATTCATGTAAATCCTCGATAGTATAGTGGTGAGTATCTCCGCCTGTCACGCGGAAGACCGGGGTTCAATTCCCCGTCGGGGAGATATTTTTGAGTAAATGATTTGTTATATACAGTTGAACGTCCGAATTGTTTGATTCATACCTCATAAAATGACCTGAAATCGGTAATGAATTCCCCACAAACACAGAATTCTTCAACTCTATGAATTGGGGACTTTGAAATCCATGAACATTACGCAATTAATCGATCGTTACGTTTTGAATATCTTCACATGTTGCAATGAAGGCCCTTACAGATAGAGAAATCGAGCATCAGATCACTGAAAATCATGAGTGTACCTCACCACAGAATTCTTCAACTCTATGAATTGGGGGATTGTGAAATCGCTGAACATTACGCAATTAACCGATCGTTACGTTTTGAATATCTTCACATGTTGCAATGTAGGCCCTTACAAATAGAGAAATTGAGCATCAGATCACTGAAAATCATGAGTGTTGAAAGCATATTCATGTAAATCCTCGATATTATAGTGGTGAGTATCTCCGCACAGTCACGCGGAAGACCGGGTTTCAATTCACCGTCGGGGAGGTATTTTGA